CAGCCAGAGAGGGGCTCCTCCACTGCAGACCGTCCTGGAGTCAATGCTCTCATTGGCCGGTCTAAGACCAGTTCTCCAGGGGTGCTAACTCTCATAGCTCTCTCCCTTCCAGACCGAGAAAATACTCCAATGTCCTCAGCAACTTGATGGCTAGTGGTCAAGTACGGGGTGGCCAACAGTGCTGTCGATGCTGGTGGCGGCCAAGAGCTTGGGCTCGAGGTCAAGTCCTGGCTTTGTCTCTTGCAAGCTGTGTGACCTGGAACAAGTGACTGCACCTCTCTGAGCCTTGGTTTGCTTATTAGGAAAACGGGGTGCTATGAGGAGCAAATGAATTCATCGATGTCAAGACCTTCGCATGGGGCCAGGTCCACATGGAGTGCTCAGTACATGCTGACCCGCATCATGATCATAAAACACAGGCTTGTCACGGAAGACCTCCTCTCCCCAATTAAGCTCATTCTCTAGGGTGGAAATTGACTTCTGTGCCTCCAACCACATTCTCTGGCCTGGTTTCTCTTTAACTGTAGATGCCCACAGAGAGACTTCTAGGTAGAAGCAAGACAGCACCCTATGGCCTGTGTTGTGTGACTCTGGGCAAACTGCTCCACCTCTCGGAGTTTCAGTTTTCTTGTCGATAAGGGGGCCCAAACCACACAGCCCGCTTAGGGAGCGGAATTCACCCCAGCTCTGAAGACATGGCTGTTGGGAAGGTACTCTGTAAGTACCCGAGCACCCTGCAGGTGGAGGGGAAGTGATCACAGTGCAGGGCGAGGCTGACCGGCTGGTCCAGATGGATGCTGGACCAGGGACCTTGGCCTCTTTAGAACCCTCCTTCAGGGCAGCAAGCTGAACAACCTGGATATCCTCTGACACGCAGCATTTTAAAGTGACCGCTCCCAAGGGCAGAAGGTCCCAGAAGCCCCCAGATTTCCCTTCCTTACACACCCCACACGCTGCCACCACCCACCAGGCCCACCTTCCCCCTGGGATCCAGGGTGAAGCTGCGTCTAGACTAACCATCGTGTCTCCCCCCAGCGAAGGGCCAGCATCCCCGAACGACAGGACCCAGGATGCCCTGCGAGGGAAAGGAACTAGATGAAGCAGGAGAAGAGGAAAGAGGGAAGGAAGGAAATGAGGCCAAGAGAACAGGAAAGTCAAGGGCACTGCTGAGAACCAGGGATGGCCCCAGCCTCTGCTTGGCCCCCCAGAAGCCACAGACTGCTGCCTGTGACCAGGATGTGGGGCTCCAGGTCTGGTGGGCGGCTGGCCTCACCGTCACCTGGCCATCCAGAAGCCAGCTCTGACCCCCACCCCAAAAACGACATCCTGTAGTGCCCGGGACAAACCCACACTAGGAAGAAGGGGCCTGGTTGCCACGCAACTTTTGGACATCCACCGAGATCCAACCCAAGCTGAGATTCCTGAGCCAAGATCCCAATTTGGTTTTACATATAAACGTGGCTTTAAAATATACTGAATTTTCCGTGCTTGCAACCACCAGGTAAAGTAAAGACGGGACATCGTTTTACTGGGAGTCCGGTCACCACTGTGGAAAATCACATCATCGCATCAGTAAGGCGATGCTGCTGGTGGTGTCTGAGTTGCCAAAACAACATGCTTGTGTCAAATGCAGATTTGGGGTGAGCAGGTGTCAAATCTGCATTTGACACTTGCGTGCGGGCTAATTCTACCTGTAGGGGCAGATATCCGAGCCCTGATATATTACATCATAACTTCTGATACTATAAGTTACTTTTCTTCTTTTAAAGATTTATTTATTTATTTGAGAGAGAGAGTGCACATAGGGGGTTGGGGCAGAGGGAGAGGGAGAGAGAAACCAAAGCAGACTCCCCGCTGATCATGGAGCCTGATGCGGGGCTCTATCCCACGACCCTGAGATCATGACCTGAGCTGAAACCAAGAGTCGGACGCCCAAGGGACTATACCACCCAGGCGCCCCTACTGTAAATTATTTTTATGCTTGGTCTCCTTTATTTTATAGTCAGGGCATTATATTTATTAACAAGTGTAAAGCGTGAGTAGGTTATATGATCCACGAATTAGCTCCTGGTTAGTAAAGGGGGCATTTAAGAATATTTGTTAAAGTGGTGGAGGGTAGGGGCGGGTTCTGGGTCCAGCACAGGTGTGAGTGATTGAGCCAGGGGAACACGCACTAGTATTAGAGAATACTCATCCTTAGAACCGTTTCCCTCAGCAGGGTTCATGGAGCCCTGGACTTGCCCTGAGTCACTTTCTTCCAAACGGCACCTCCTCCAAAGCAGTGTTTTCTGCTCCTTTTGGTCACTGGAGGGAAGGCTGTCATGGATAAGGGCAGGTCGAGAGCTCAGGTGTACCCTCCCAATTTGGGAGAATAGGTCTGCCGGAGGAGACCCCATGTCAGACCAGCGTGCCCTCCCCTCCTCCTTGGGGAAAGGAAGGCTGCTTTTCTGAGTTGGGTGTTTGGAGAGGCCCCTCAGGCCTGGCGGATAAGAGGGCTCCTGTTCAAGTCCTTCATATTTCATGACCTCCCCCCAGCCTAGTGTCCTGCACTGGGCTTGTGTGTCCTACCCTGTCGGCTGGGAGAGGGTCATCCTGGCTTCTGGGAGGGGGAGGGACCTGCTAGGGACTTGTCCATATCACACAGGGAGATTCAGGCTCCTGGGTCTGGGGTAGGGCTGAAATAAAGCCCCATGGAATTCCTATGCTCCTGACCCCACGCCCGCCCCGCACCCAGCTGAGAATCAGAACCAAGTGTACGGAACACTAGATCCAGCCCCCAGGAGGGAATGCCACTCTTACCCAGGGTCCTGCTGCAATTCCTGGGAGAAGGGCTGTTGAGGAAAGGGTTATGCCCAGGAATCTTTGAAGGAAGGCACTTCTGGTGTCTCCCGGAAAACCAGACCAATGATTGAATCTGGACTTGACAACTGCTTTAGGATTTAAAGCCACTGAATGAGACTTGGAGGCTGCTGGCTTCCCAGAAGCTACGTCAAGACTATGTCATCTCTATAGTGTGTGCTGCTATAGGGAGTCCTAGGAGGTGGCAGCTCCCCTGAGGACTGGGTTCGTGCCTGGAGTGGGGGTCTCCATGCTAGTCGTGGGTGAACCGGGCCCCAAATCTCCGCAAGCCAGGACAGCCCCGAGGACCCATCCCGGCCTCCAGCTCCGGAAAGGAAGGTCAGGACGATAGGGGCTCCCAGCCACTTGCCCCACCAAGAGGGTCACACCATGTCCTGGGTAATGGGGCCAAAACTCTCTGTCTCCTGCAGAGATGGGACCAAAAGTACGGAGAACACTCCAAGCTGCCCCCAGGAATGCGCAGAAGACAGACGGGAGCAGGTTGGGGGACAGGAGCTCAAAGGGGAGCAGGGGACCTCTGGGGGCTTCTGACACAGCCTCATCTTCCCTCTTGGGGTCTTGCTGGAATTGGCTTGGTTTTTGCCCAGGTGTGAAAAGTTAGAAAAGCTCCAGGAAGCAATGGTGGGCTGAGGTGGGGTGCCACAGACTGAGGTCCCCCCCCCACAAAGGGCAGTTTGGGGGCTGACTCATCAGGAAGGAAGACTGGGACCCGTATAGTTCCTCCACCACATCAGGCACCCTCCTACCTCAGGACCTTGGCACCTGCCATTCCCTCTGCCTGGAATGTCCCTCCTCCATAAAGCTTCGAGGTGCCCTTCTTCCCCTTCCTCAGGGTCTTCCAATGTCACCTTCCTTGAGATCTGTCCAGCCTCTCTCTCTAAAATTCACCCTCCCCAGTACCTCCTGACCCTTTCCCTGTTCCATTTATCTCCTTAGCACATATCACTGATGGCCCACATATTTTAACATCTTTATCTCATTTATTCTTTGTCTTCCCCACTACACCATAAGCTCCCCAAGGTCAAGGGGCTTGTCTATTTCATTCACTCACAAGGTCAGAGGGTTTGTCTGTTCCATTCATTGCTTCATCCCTGGTGCCCAGAGCAGTGTCTGGCCACAGTAGGTCTTCAATGAACATTTGTTAAATGCATCAGTGCAGGGGCGTGGAGAGGTGCTTTAATCCAGATCCCTGAGGGATATCATGGGGACCTCTAAAGGCTCTCTAGACACTCAGGGGTCCTTGGGGAGGGGGTTGGGAAATCTTGACCTGGGTTTCTGGGTGGCCCCACACCTGAGCCTCCTCTGTAGTGGGGGGTGGATAAGAAGTAAGAGCTGTAGGGTTAGTGCTAATCTAAGATGAGAGCAGAAGGGGGCAGAGAGAAACTTCCCTCCTTCTCATATCTCTGGACCCACTACTCTCTGACCCCCTAGCCCAGCTGCCAATTCCTCCCCAAAGAAGGAGTTAGAATCACCCACTGTATCGCCTGCTCTTTTCCTCTCCAGAATCAGAAAATGCCAATCTGGCAAATGCAGAGGGGCCGGGACCCAGGTCTTCATGTTCTAGCTTTAGCTCCTATATAATATGAGCAAGACCACTGTTTTGGGGGAGCTGGGGCCAGTTCTTTACTTTGATTCCAGTCCCTTCCTTTAGAACCTCCCTTGCTCCCAAGTGGCTGTCACAAGGAGGCAGCTGGTTTAGGCTGAGGGTTACTCAGGCCTCAGCTCATCCCCGATCTCTTCCCGGGACCTTGGCATTCACCCTATGCCAAGGCTACCATGGACACGCACCTCTCGCTCACTGGATGACTTGGGAGAGCCCCCTTCCCTCTTAGCCTCAGTCTTCTGCCCCATGAATTGTGGATCCCAAAAGTACCCACCTTGAGGGGTTGCTGGAAGACACGACATCAGCTACCATGACTCTTAGCTCTGGTTCTCATGGCTAGAGATACAGGCTACAAGTTACGCCCATTCCGTTCTTACAATTGCAGGTTTAAGGGAAAGAGGCAAGAGTGGTCGAGTGGATGTGATTGTGTGTGTCTGGAACAGCTCAGGATGTCTCCTGGGTCTGATGTCGAGCTGCAGAACATGTCTGCATTCAGCACATATATGCACGCATGCACGCACACATCTGTAGAGCTTACCTGTCTACCTGGACTTCTGCATCCTTTGTCTCTGCCTTGGAAGGTCCCCCTCCATTGATCCCTTTGCTCCCACTGGTAAGAAGGCTCAGCACAGGCTCTATCTCTTTGAGCAATTCACTGTTCTGGCTGTCCTGGAGAGCCACCCCGGTGCTTTTCTTGGTAGGGTCCTGGCCAGGGGGTCTGCGAGCCAGGCTGTTGGTATTCGAGAGTGCGCTGGCTCCCTGCCCACTGTCTTGGGCATGCTGGGGCCCATTGCCAGGCCCCAGGGCCCCGTCCACTGGCGGTGTGTGCTCTTTGCTGGCCGATGACTGGTGAGACAGATCGACAGCTGCGGTGGGGGGACCCAGGGGCCGTGTCACCCGGATGGTCTTGGGGGTCCCATCCCCAGTGAAGGTGGTCTCCAGGTGAGTGGTGAAGCCCTCAGGGCCCCTCAGAATGAGGACCACGTGGGTCTCAGAGGCAATGCCCCTGAGCACCTCCAGGGCACTGTCATAGCTCAGGTCCACCAAGGGCTGGCCGTTGACCGCGAGGATGATGTCGCCGGCCTGGATAAGGCCGCTCTGCTCCGCGGCACCCCCTCGGATCAGGTCGGAGATGATCACGGGTGGCTTGCTCACCCGCTCCTTCACCAGGAAGCCCAGGCCCCCAACCTTGCGCTTGAAGAGGCGGACAGAAATGACGTTGGGTTGGATCTGCTGAACATTGAACACCTGATTCTCCATGGTGTCTAGTGTCCAGGGGTCCGAAGACTTAAAATATGTCAGGCCAAGCTGATTTCACCAGGAGGAGCCAGGCTTCACGCCGAGCTGAGAGGAAGAGCTGGGGGCTGGGGCCTCGGGGAGTCTCAAGAGCGAGCTGTTCTTGGGTTCGTCTTCTCCGTCTTTGACGTCAACTCGGCGTCACCCACTCACTGCCATCCGGCCATTGGTGGCATGATTTCATGCGTCTGCCTTCCTCCTTGTTCTCTCTAGGAAGTGATGGTCGATCAGGCAGACGTCAGGAAAAGCAGTGGGACGTGTCCCTAAGCAACAGGTCAGGCCGACTGGGGTGGAGAAGTGTCTGGTGGATGTGTCTAGATGTGTCTCGAGATGACGCAAGCTCCTGTACACTATTCTCTGGGCATCGCCAGCCCGTCAGACCTGTGCTGGAGAGAAGGAACAAGGGAGGGGGTGAAGTTACAAAAGAGAGATTGATGTGGAGTGCCCAATGCCACCTTCCAAAGCAAGGTGGGAAATGCAGCCAAACTGAGAACTCTAGCCACAAGACCCTGGAGTTTGGAAGCCAACCTCGAAATGAAATCCTTCCTCCTCGAGGGGAGGGGGTAACTTCCCCGTTAGCTGCAAATTGCCCGGTTTCATCTCCCATGATCAAAGAACCCCGAGACCAACGGTCTCCCTGGGGAAACCACTGATAGCCTAGAAGTCAAATGGCAAGAAGCACAATCTCATCTCTTATCTCTCCCATCTTGAGAAGCTACCATTTCAACTTGTCATGCGGCCTTTGGCTCTCTGTGTCTTACAAACATTTTCCATTCACATGTCAGGAGCTCAGCCAGCACAGATCTTTAGGCTCTCTGTCCTGGCCACTCCCAGAGTCCCCACAACAGACCCACTGGAAGGGGAATGCCGCCAAGGGTGTCAATTGCCCTTTCTGACCATTTTTGTAACTATCGACTAGTTCCAGGCCCCAAAGGACAGATTTGGCCACATTACAAACCATTATAAAGCTAATGTGGTGTATTAAATACCAAAGACATGGGTCCACACAAAACTTTAGAGGACATCTGTACTCCACAGACTGCCTGCAACCCTAATGGAGAAACATTAAGAAGAGTGGACTGTGTACCCCCAGGGTTATCATAAGCACACAGAAGGTGCTCAATGAGTATTTGTTGAATGAAGAAAAATTCCAAAAGATTAAACATAGCAGACACTTATTGAACAAGTATGCTCTTAATGTATGTATGTATGTGTGTGTGTGTGTGTGTGTGTGTGTATATATATATTTGCTTTTGATCCTCATGGTTACCCTTCAATAGATGAGAAGCCTGGGAAGGGGTTTAGTTAGTTGTCCAAAGTCACGTAGAAATGATGGCGAAGAGAGGCTTTGAGCTCAGGTCTGCCCCACTCTTGAGCCCAAGCTTTTAAGCTTACACTCCAGTTGGAAAAACCTCATATTCTGGTTATTTTCTCAACTCCCGCTGGCTCCCCCAGGCTTGGAGAAATGGGGTTTGGTTGGGGTGCCAAGGGGCCACAGGGGGCCCAGCTGGGGGTGTTGTGGCCCAGACGAGGCATATACACGTGTGGGACGAACACAGAGGGCAGCTATGGACGTGGGTCGCATGTGATTGACTTGGAGCAGGTGATCTGTGGGTTGTGGGTGCAGTGGGGGCAGGTGGGAGGCAGCAGAGAACCCCGCCATCTTGCTCTAACCCCCCTGTTCAACTCCAGGGTCCAGCTCTACCCCGAACACCCTTCCCTGCCCGCATCCTCACGATGCTTAGTGCAAGGAAGGAGCCCCCATCTGCCACTATTAACTAAGTGACACTCACTCCCTCATTTCCCTTTTAGCGAACTCCCGGGGTCATCCGGGGGCTGAGGCAGCTGACAAGCTCCCACTGCCTCTGTGAGCAGGAGATGGGTGCAGACGCCCCCCAAGAAGGAGGTGCCACTTCCTGGATCCCCTCAAGGCGGGGTGGTTAGTAAGTGAGCCTCCCCCTTTTGCAGCTTGCATTATGTAACTCCGCCAGCCCCTCTGTGTGGGTGAGGGAATAATGAGTACCCAGGCCCGGCCTGGCCTGCCTTCTCCATCTGGCGTCGCTGTGTATGAGTGTTTCTCTCTGTGTATTCATGCATTGCCCTCATGCTGTGTCATTTCTCTGCTGTGTGTGTAAGCGTGTGTGGCCCATGTGTCGGCCGGCTGAGTGTCTTTCAGCATCTTGCTGCTGGGGGTCCGGTTTGTGGAGAAAACCATCCAGAACCCCTGTGTCTTTCCTCACTGGGGAGGATCGGTCCTCCCCCAACCCCTTTGCTTCCTTAACACTCCCCAAGCCCCATTTCTTCTGGGTACCAAACCCAGGATATTCTGTTGTTTAGCTGGAGGCAGAGATAGCTGGGACCTCTAGATCCCTCTTGAGTGGACTCCATTCTTTAATTAAAGAAGGGACTTGCAGGTGAGCTTTTGGGAAGGCAAGGCTTCCAAGGGCTTTCCTTCCACTTCTGGCTTGGGCCAGACCCTAAAAAGGACAGAGCCTGGGCTTGGCTGAAGAAAAAAGAAAAAGAATAAAGTGATCCACAAGGCTTCCTAGTCACGCTCAGCTTTTCCTCTTTCTCAGTTGGTTTTCAAATCAGGAAGGGCTGTTGGCTGGTGCTTGGGAAACTGGGATGCTGTTTCTCACACTTTGGCCTTAGGCAACTTGATCTTTGGAAGGAACTGGAAAGAGGCTGGGCTTGGGAGAAGCAGGGATATTCAGTGTCTGCTGAGAGAAAGAGAGAGAGAGAGAGAGAGGGAGAAAGAGAGAGAGAGAGATACAGCCCTGTGCCTCAGCCAACAGATTCTGAGGCCACTCACCAGGGTCTACCTTGATCCTAATAGCAATCCCACAACACTCTGTCTCCCTCCTTTTCCTCCGCAGAGCACATCCTCATCTGCTGCCATATTTTTATCCTCACTCTCACCAAGGTCAGGTTTGAATATCCCCATTTTACAGACGAATAAATTAAGCTACTATAGGGAGACCCATTTGTCTGTGAATGTCCAGTATCCAGGAGGCTCCTGGGTCAATGGGGGTGGCTGGCGACCCTTCTGCCCCAGGGAAGATTTTTAAGGCCCCTTCTGGCTCTGTCTGTGTGCTTCCAGGTGAGTTCTTTATTTTCTTGGAACTTCCATTTCCTTATCTGTAAAACGGGGTTGTTAAGCAGTGACCACTTCCCTGAGTAACCAGAAGGATTAATTAAAATGGTGAACGCACGGTACTCAGCAACTTCACATAGCAAAAGCCCAGAAGAAAGGGCTTCCTGTTATTGTTATATAATATGTAATGATTTGGGCTTCCTGGGTTTTAATTTTAATTTTCTGCACCACCCTAGTTTCGCCAAAGGTAGTTGATGTGCCATCTCGAGGGGGCCCTTTGCTGGAAATCTGGTGGAATCTGGCACTGGTCGTGGCCCCGGGGCTCTGAACATTGGGAGCCAGGTGCTGGGCGGCACATCCTGCCAAGCCAGCCTCTGCCCTTTGGAGCTGTGATTTTAAACAAATCACATACGTGCACGCCAGTGTACATACCATGGAAACAATACTTGGACCCAGGCCTCATTCGAGTAGTTCAGCGGTTTCGGGTGTATTTATCTCATTCACCTTGCTATGAGGAAATGAGTGGCTGACTTTCGGGACAGCTGCTAGCGACAAGGAGGGAGCCAAAAGAGGCCAGCGTCTGCTACCATCTCACCCTGCGACCTTGGGCAAGCCACTCCCCATTCTGGGCTGCAACCAGAGCGGTGGGGACGGCAGCCCGTCTCTAGCAACGGAGAGTTTCCTGTGTGCACAGCACCAAGCCCTCTACATGGGTGCCTTATTTGATCCTGGAAGAGACTGTATGGAGAAACTCCTAGCCCCACATTACCCATGGATGAGGTGAGTGGGGTTCAGAGAAGTGAACCCAGGGAGCAACCTTGGGTCTAGTGAGTGGATTCTGAGCACTCACTGGGGTCAATCCCAATCCTAATACCAACCCCACAACATGCCTCATTTCTCTTCCTCCCCAAAGCACATCCTCACTGGCTGCCATATTTTTCATCCTCACTCTGATCAGGGTGACAGTGGATTGTCCCCATTTTACAGATGGTGAGATTAAGCTGCTATATAAGACCTACTTGGCTTGGCTTGTCCTTGACCTTCCATTTTTAGCACTGAAAGTCAGAGGACATTAGGATGAAGGGGAGCTCTTGAGATCATCCAGCCCAACTTCTATTCAAAAATGAGGAAATAGAGGCCTGGAGAAGCCAGGGGTTCATTCACATGGATCAGCAACAGGTGGGGGTGTCTAGGGCTGTGCTCTCCAGTAGGGCAGTGGCTAGCCACATGCGGCCATTGAAACCCCTGGACTGTGGCTGGTTCCACTGAGATCTGCTGTAAGAGCAAAACACACATGGGGTTTCAAAGGCTAGTTTGAAAAAAAAAAAAGAATGTAAAATAGCTCAATAATTTTTCAATATTGGTTACATGTTGAACTGATAGTGTTTTGGATATAGTGGGTTAAACAAAATTGTTATGAAAGTTAATGTCACCTGTGGTTTTTTTTTTACTCTTTTTTAAAAAGTGACTACTATACAGTTAAAAATCACACATGTGGACCTCATTATATTGCCATTGCACAGTGTAGGTCTAGAGTTTGACCTCCTCTCTGTATCCCACTGTCCCTTAGGCCCCCTTGAGAATCTACTGGTAACTTCACCAGGCAGAAGATAATTCTTCTTTCTAAAGAAACCAGAAAGATGACACAGAGGGTTAGCAAAGATCTTGCCACTTTTGAGGGGATTGCGGGGGACGGGGAGAGAATCCACCTACAACTATGTGAAGAAAGAGGTAATAGTAGGATGTCACCCGGGCTAAGAGTAGAGCGTACAACATCCCATTGTCCGAAGGTCATGTGAAGTCTAATCCATTTATACAATGAATGTTTTGTTAAAAAGAATGAGGCAGATTCTACTCAGAGGTATGAAATGAGCTCCAAGATATAAAGATACATGTAAATTCTGCACGTGTAAATGCAGAGAATATTCTGGAAGGAATGGGTATCATCGGTTGCAACTGACAAGGACTATTAGAAGTCAGAAATAGGAGGGAGACATACTTTGCACTGTCTACCTTATTTTTCTATTTGAATATCATTTAAATTATGTTTTTAATTACATGTATATTACCTTTTAAATGAATAATATTGAAGGAAAAAACAACACCCAGCCTGTGAACTCCTGGGTGTTTTCCGTTTGCACACCCACTAAATCTCTGATGGAGTTACAGCTCCGTTTCGCATCTTCCTCCAATCATATTTAAAAACAAATCCTCTTCCCACTACTATTACTAATAATTATCATACAAGCAGCCACTATTCTATTGGTCTTCTATGCCA